GTAAGTAAAGGAACTCCAGAAGAAGTGTTTTTTTTTTCAAGAATGAACCTGTGCAGAAATCTTAGCTATGCGTAAAATGTAACACTGCGTCTGAAGCAGCTACGACATAAAAATGTCGGGAAATATGTTTTCTACTGCACTGAATCAAATTGGTTTACTTTACGTGTGTTTTTTTCTCCTGAAGTTTTAAAAATTTAAAATATTAAATTCAAAATTCAAAATTTTGTCCGAGTATCAGTGACTCTAATTTTTAAAACAACTAGATCCTACTAAGACTACAGCAATGTTTCCCAAACACTTCTGGTCATATTTTAGAAGTCACAAACCTTCACGACCCAAGTCAATAGACATTATTGGTAAACTCTTGGGAAACATGATGTGAGATGACCCAAAAGAAATCTCTTGCAACCCACCTGAAGGCCACGACCCAGTCTTTGGGAAACAATGGACTAGAGCACTGGTTCTCAAACTGTGTTATGTGTATCACCAGTGGTACTTGAACGCTCTCTGGTGGTACGCGGGGAACATATTTTCACATTTACATTTTCGATTGAATAAATCTGAAACATACCATGCACAATTAATTTAACATTTAAACATAAACATCTTTCTAAACATTTCTAAACATCTCTCCTGTGGTGGAAGCTAACAGTGAAGGTCTATGCTGCTATATTCTAATGTTGGTCATCATGGTGGTACTCAGAGAGATCAAGGTTTTATCAGGTGGTACAGAGTAGAAACAGTGGAAGAGAACCACTGGCATAGAGGATCGGATTACTTTAAGTTTACTTTGACATACTTTGACCGTTCCGTATTTGTGTATCAACATGTCAAATATACTCTTTGAAAGTATTTTTGGTCGTAAATCTTTTGCGTGTTGGCAGTTATTTTAGTATTTTATTTTAGTGCAACTGGTAAAAGTCATACAGTGACAGGACATACAATAAAGGTACACAGCAGATGTCGTCTAAGTCGGCGTCACATTTCCTCTGCTGTTGTGATTCTGTTGAGTCTGTTTGTGACCGTTAATTCAGCAGCAGTTGTTCTGCCTTAAATCTGGGCTCAGCGAAAAATTTGTGTTTGTGGAACATTCGCAACTGATGACGTAGATTGAATGGGTGAGTAATCATTTTCAGTGTGGTGTAATACCTGATGACTCTGCACTCGCTAATGTAATGGAGAATGAGATGAAAATGGAGTGTATGTGTGTGTGTGTGTGTGTGCGTGTGTCAGTGCGGTCTATGTGTAGCTATACTTGTGGGGAAAGTTATTGGTTTTTATTTAAGAAAAGGCTTTTAGTGGAGATATGACAAGAGGCTATTAAGCTGTACATTTGTAATGATTGACATTTGTTCGTTTGTGGGCTGAATTAGAGTTAGGATTTAGTTAGAGATTAGGGATATTTTTGTTGGGGTTAGGTTTGGGGTAAAGGCTTTGGAAATTCACTATGTTCATGTGAATTGCTGACAAACTATCATTGTGTGTGTGCAGAAAAGGGCTGTTTCTGCTGACCTCTTGTGGTTTATATGACACTCTACACGATTCAAGATTCAAGATTCAAGATTCAAGAACTTTATTGTCGTTGTGCAAGCATAACGAGATTTTTTCCGGGCTCTCGGCAACAATCAACATGGATAAAGTAATAAAGTAAGAAGTAGTTTAACAAAACTGAGCAGTGCAAAACAGAGGTACTATATCGGGCAGGAGGTAGAAGTTTTAACAGTAATCACGATAAGGTGCATTCAGTGCTGAGCAGCAGAGGTGTTAGTAGTCAGTGTTCATTGTTTGGGTGTGAGGTGGGGGGTGGGTCTTCTGTGGATGTGCTTTGGGGGGAGGGCTGCGGGGGGGTTATTGCTTTCATAGCTCTGGGAAAGAAACTGTCTCTGAGCCGTGAGGTGGTGGATTTGATGGTCCTGTACCGTTTCCCTGATGGGAGCGGTACAAACAGTGAATTCCCTGGGTGGGTGGGGTCAGACGCTATGCGTCTAGCCTTCCTCTGGACCCGAGTGCTGTAAATAGAGTCCAGGTCTGGTAGACAACAGCCCACGATGCCCTGTGCCGTCCTCACCAGCCGGGATAGGTCCTTCCTGTCCTGTGCAGTACAGCTGCCATACCATACTGTCATGCTGAGAGACAGTATGCTCTCAATGGTGGTCCTGTAAAAGTTCACCAGGAGCTGGGAGGAGAGTCCAGAGCGCTTCAGCTTCCTGAGGAAGAAAAGCCTTTGATGGGCTTTCTTCACCAGGTGTGAGGTGTTTACAGCCCAGGAGAGATCAGAGGAGATGTGGATGCCCAGGAACTTGATGTTGTTAACACGCTCCACGGCCTCCCCCTGTAGGCAGAGAGGAGCATGTTGAGTCCTCCTGGACCTCCTATAATCCACAATGACCTCTTTCGTCTTGTTGATGTTCAGGACGAGATGGTTCCTTGAGCACCACTGTGACAGCCTCTGGACTTCCTCTCTGTAGTGGGTCTCATCGTTGTTGGATATGAGGCCCACCACGGTGGTGTCATCTGCAAATTTTAGGACCAAGTTTGTGGGGTGGGTGGCGGAGCAGTCATGGGTGAAGAGGGTGAAGAGTGTGGGGCTGAGCACGCAGCCCTGCGGCGTTCCAGTGCTCAGGATCAGCGGTGCAGATGTGAGCTCGCCTATCCTCACCATCTGGGGCCTGCTGGTGAGGAAGTCGCTGATCCAGGAGCAGAGGGATTCTGACAGGCCTAGGTTGTGGAGCTTCAGGGCCAGCATGTCCGGGAAGACGGTGTTAAAAGCTGAGCTGAAATCCACGAACAGCATCCTGACGTAGGTGTTGGGATGCTGCAGGTGAGTCAGGGCCGCGTGAAGTGCTAATGACACAGCATCCTCCGTGGAGCGATTCTCCCTGTAGGCGAACTGCAGGCTGTCCAGACCGACAGGGATGACGTCCTTGATGTGCCTCAGGAGGATCCTCTCAAAGCACTTCATAATAACCGGGGTCAGTGCAATTGGTCGGTAGTCATCGAGGCTGGTGATGGTTGTTTTCTTGGGCACAGGCACAATAATTGAGGACTTCAGGCAGACAGGAACCATGGAGAGCTGCAGTGACATGTTGAAGATGTCCAGAAAGACACCTGCCAGTTGGTCTGCACATGTTTTCAGGGTCCGACCTGACACCCCATCAGGTCCCGCAGCCTTGTGAGGCTTGATCCTCCTCAGAGTGGAGCTCACCTGGTGCAGCTGCAGTCTGAGAGGCTGCTGCTGCTCCTCTGGCTGAGGCAGATGTGCTGCCTCTCTGCTGCTTTGAGAGTCGAAGCGTGCAAAGAAACTGTTTAAAGTGTCAGGCAAAGTGGGATCATGGCTGACCTGCTGTTCACCACGGCTGTAGTCTGTGATCGTCCTGATGCCTCTCCACATGCTGCGGGCGTTGTTATCATTGAAGTGCTCTTCAATGTGCTGCTTGTACCTGTGTTTAGCCGCCTGGATGCCCTTCCTCAGTTCTCTGCGAGCCCTGCTGTAAGCCGGTCTGTCACCTGCTCTGTAGGCTGCGTCGCGGGCCCTCAGCAGAGACCTCACTGTGCCGTCCATCCATGGCTTCTTGTTGGGAAAAGCTGTGATGGTCTTACACTTCAGCCTGACTTGCTTTTAAATGCCACCTGTTATTTATTATAACAAATAATTACAAACAGCTTTGGAAATTTCCATTATTTAATCAGTTAATCAGTAATTTCTTTCTTCAGTTGTTCTTAGTTCTGTTGATGTTGAAAGTGTTAAAGTTAAATGAAAACCTACATCCATTCTTCAGCCCAAAGATTCTGTGCATTAAAATACATTTTCGGGATCATATTTAGATATTCCTGACATTCCCTTTTTAGCAGGAGCGCATTATACAATAATACCAATCACCACTACAATGATATTTTTTTGCTGCATTATTTATATCATCAGTGTAAACAATCCTATGAAAACCCATCAGTGTGTGTGTGTGTGTGTGTGTGTGTGTGTATTTGCCCACATACATTTAAAGCTGATGTTAAATGAAACTGTTGGCCTTGGCTTGTTGTTTCAGTCTGCTCCCGTCTGGTCTGATGTCTATTTTGGGTTGAGTCCAGCTCAGTCTATTTTGGGACGTCATCGATGCCTGAAGATTCCTCGTCCTAAATGAGACGTTTTCTGAAGCTCCGTGAATATCTGGTTTATTTACTCTACATTTGGAGTAAACTGTCCTCAGTTCACCCTATCACTCGCGTCCTCTAGTGTTACACCACCAACTGTCTCCTTATGTCCTCCTCCATCAGGTCCATACATCTTCTTCAGGGCACCCCTCTTTTCTCCTGCCTTACCAAAAATATCACAGATTAATGACTTGTAACCTTGGGCTTTACACCTGGTCATTTTTGAAAAATACCATATTGTTTCAATTTAAGATATCTCATCATCATCTCAACGCCAACGATGTGCTCGACGACTCTCGCTCGTGCTGAAACATTATGATACACAGAACCCTTTTTGCCAGACCTGAACCCATCTGTCATTCTGACTGCACTACTATGTTACTGTTTTCAAAGATTGCACAGCAAAAATGTACTCTTCTGCCACTCCTCGCTTTCTTGTCAAGGCCACAGTTCCTCTCTTATATTTATAACCTTTCACATGTAGAGCATTCAGACTTTGAGTTGGCAAGCCAGTAAATTTAAATTATATTATATTATATATGTTATATATAAATATTACATATATTTTTAAAATAAAAATATATAAAATATAAATTAAAACATAATATATATATATATATATATATTTACATAGATATATTAATTTATATATACCATATATATTTTTAATATATACATATATTTATATATTAAAATATATTTATATATTTTATGAGTATATATATACTTATATTTAAGCCAGATTGGAATTTTAAAAAAATCTAATCCTAAGGCACAGTCTACCAGTCTACCCTTAAAAAAATCTGCCTTGGACTCAGTGTAAGTAGTTGAACAAGTGTCACAGGACCTGTGGGAGAGTATTTTTTCCCTGATCCGTGATTTTTACAAGGGAAGGATGGTGAAGCGTAGCTGCTCTGAGTTCATGATAAATCTGTGGTATGGCCTCACGAGAGACAGTGAAACAATTAGAAAGTGGATCACGGAGCCAACTGGGAGAAGAGGATTCAGGACACCTGTTGACCTCTGTGCCTATATGGTTCCATGCAGGCTACATGCTACGTTCATGTCACATTTAGCTAAGGCCATTGACATATAAGTTATATAACCATTTTGATTTGCCTTAGTGCAGGTTATTCACTTTAACCACTTTGGAGAAAAGTAATGATAAATTAATGTTACATTCAAGTTATTTCTCAAAACAGATAGGTGTGGAAAAAAGGAATGGGAATTTCATGGGATAATGCACAATTGACGTTTAATTTAATGTTTTTTTTTAATTAGGAAAAAGACTAAAAAAGGGGTTTGGTGCTCAGCTCTTTATCTTAGATTGCTTCCTTTCCTTTGCATTTTCTTTGTCTTTCTCTTTCTCTCTCTCTCTCTCTCTCGTTCGCTCTACCTCAGTCTATCCCTGGGGTGCTTCTCTTCTGCCAATAGGATTCACTTGACGTTAAAAAACTTCCATCAGACCCTGATTGTCTTTGTCAGGTTCTTACATCTGTCACAGTTTAAGGAAAGACAGAGAGCAGTGAAGTTGATTTCTAACGTATATAGCATGTAAACTTTGAGCAACACAGGCTGCAGGAAAGGTGTCAATGTCTCAAAGACATGATGAAAGAAGAGCGTAAGACAGATTAGACAGATGTGTCAAAAGTCCAGTCATCCAAGAGGAAGGCAGGGACAGAACTGAAGGGACAGTGGAAGAAACGATAGAAGAAGAAGAAGGAAAGATGAGCGTGAGGTGGGAGACGGAGGGACTTCAGACGGTGGGCATCGTCTGCCTGGTGATAATGTTCCTCAAACTGATGCACCTGCTGGGCCTCATCGACATCACTGAGACTGGTGAGGAATGATGGGGAAGGACGATGAAGAAGAGGAGGATTTAGAGGGGGAGTTTGTTTGTCTTTCATTCTGTAAACCGGCAGATTTCAGTGGATGTGGTTTTCATCACGTCAGGATGGAGAGTATAAAGATTTAACCTAAATTCACGATTATTAATTTGTTTTTGTGCATTAATTTTAGAGTTGTCATGTGAGTCATCAATTAAAACTGATTGTTCTAACATAGTTTTTCCCAAACTTTTTTCTGGGGACCCATATTTTAAAAGTCACAAACCTTCACGACCCAAGTCAATAGACATTATTGGTAAACTCCTGGGAAACATGATGTGAGACACACACAAAAAAAAACTGTTGTGACCCACCTGAGGGCCACGACCCAGTCTTTGGGAAACAATGTTCTATCACATGGACAGAATGCTATGTCCTCTACATGCAGCCATTCCACTGTTACTCTGATACACAGTTGATACATATATTGCTTTTTCCACTTACCTGGGGAAGGAGGTGTTACGATACCGTCTTGTAGTGTGTATTTTATTTGATGCTTCCACTTCAGGTCACACCTTGTATCAGACCAGCCTCACTGAACACTGGGCAGTAAGTGAGTCTATGTCTGACAAGCTGACTGATACAATGGCCAAATGGATGAAGCAACATTTGGAGTTTAAGTGAAAATGTTTTCTTGACATTTTTCCATAATAATAATTATATCATTTTTAATTAGTGACAATAAAACAACATAGATTTACCTGCTATTATTTAACTTTCAGTCATGATCAATCATGATCAATCCACAGCTACTACTATTATTATTATTATTGTTGTTGTTGTTATTATTATGTTATTATAATAATTATTATTATTAGAGATAATCTTTTTTTTTACCAAAAACATTTGTTCTATTGTTTTGATTTTTTGTTTTGGGGGGTTGCAGATTGCATTAAATATATTTTATATGTGTGTGGGTGGGTGCATTAAAATTTTAAATATTGTATCATAAGTATAAAGTAAAATACTGAAACACAAATATTTTTTTTCTAAATGGGAGAATACCTGTGATGATGAAGGTCAAGTGTCTCCCCCTGCTGGCTTCTTCTCCCTTTGTGTATAAAACTGAGACTTGAATCAACTGGATTGTTAACAGTCAGGGTTCTCGGCAGGAGAGACTCCTGTTCTGTCCTCTTCTGTTTTGGCTGCAGGTTGTTGTTTTTTTCTTTTTTTTTTTTGTTTTTTGTTTTTTGTTTTTTTGTTTTTTACTGCTCTGCTGTTTGTTGATGAAAATAACTGGAGTCTTTTCCTTTAGATCACCCTTAGATGATCCTGAATCTGATCCGACTTGACTTGTTGTCTTTGTTTTTGTTTGTTTGTTTGTTTGTTTTCTTCCTCTTTTACTCTCTCACTGTTCTTCATTTACTCTCCTTCACTCCATTATGGTGTCAACGCTCGTTCTCCACCTCCTCCTCTGTTCCCTCTGTGTAAAGATGGTGAGTATGGGGAACGGGAGAAACCCAAACTGAATATTTTAAGGGAAAAAGCCCCTTTCCCTTTTTCCCTTTTAATTTCATTTTTTAACCTTTTTTAAATGTGTTTTTTATTTTAGTCATGCAGTGCTTTACCTTTTCTGCTACAATTGTGTATTTCAAATTTCAAATTTGTTTTCTGTGTGTTTTTTCAAATTTTTTTTATAAATAAAAGAAGAGAAAACACATCCCCTTCCTCCTGACTCTCTCTTCTGCCTGCCTTTTGCTCTGGTTGATTTATACTAAATCTCTGAAACATGCACGTTTTCCCATCCTTTTCCTAAAAAAAAAAAAAAATCCCGACTGGTGTAATTCCCAGCCTAAATCTCCTGAATGTTGACCTGCATCCATGCGCTGTGTCCCATCCTCCTTTATTCCCTACATATCATTCCCTCTCTGCATCACAACCTACAATCTACATCTTTCTCTCTCTCTTTCTTTTTCTCTTTGTTCCCTGTCTTGTCTCCCTCTGCCTCTTCCTCTGTCTTTCTCCCACAGACAGCAGCGACAGTGATTTGGAGCTGTCCACAGTGCGTCACCAGCCGGAGGGGCTGGATCAGCTGCAGGCTCAGACCAAATTCACCAGAAAAGAGCTTCAGTCTCTTTATCGGGGCTTCAAGAATGTACGTAGCGTAGGCTCTGAATGAGTTTTTAAAAATTCTTTATTTGGCCTTTAATGACAATTATGGCATTTATTTGTAGACCTTAATATTTTAATGTCTTGAGCAGGAGTGTCCCAGTGGGCTGGTGGACGAGGAGACATTCAAGACCATCTACTCTCAGTTCTTTCCCCAAGGAGGTTTGGTGTTTAAAAAGTCTTCCTACAGATTCTTGTTACAGATATAACAACTGAGGTGCTTTCAGTAAAATCCATGATGTTGACTCTTTTTGTTTTTCACAGACGCCACCACCTACGCCCACTTCCTCTTCAACGCATTTGACATCGACAGGAATGGATCAATCCGCTTTGAGGACTTTGTGATCGGCCTGTCGGTGCTGCTCAGAGGCTCAGTCACAGAAAAGCTTAACTGGGCTTTCAACCTTTATGATATTAACAAAGACGGCTACATCACCAAAGAGGTGTGGGTGGTAAAGACGTCTGCAGGTGGAGGGGGTTAAAATGTCATGAGCAGGATGTATTTCAGCTCTGCAATAAAAGAGACTGGAAGTTTCTAGACTTTTCTTGAAAATTACGTTTCATTGAGTTTTTATATAATATGTTTAAATCAAGGCTTTGGTTTTTGTCTTCTTACCTGTAGGAGATGCTGGCCATCATGAAGTCAATCTATGACATGATGGGAAGATACACTTACCCGTGTGTGCGAGAAGATGCCCCTGTTGAACACGTGGACAAGTTCTTCCAGGTAAACACGTGTGACTGTTAACAGACACATATGTGTATTTTAACAGCAGAGTAGAAAAATCTGTTAATTGAGCATGTGATGTACGGCATGTTATATCCAAATTTGTCACCATCTTTTGATTGATGTCAGTCCTTTATGAGCTAACATATTTTTTCTCTGCTAACAATTAGCTTTTTTGTTTTAGTTTTAGCTACCAATATAGACTATGGAAAATCCATGTCCGCTTGGTAAAAAGCACTCCCGCTTAATTCAGTGACTCTTGTGTTCACTTTCTATTTAAAGCATTACAAAAAACAATTTAAAAAAGTTTTTTCCTCTCCCCAGAAAATGGATAAAAATCGAGATGGTGTTGTGACAATTGAAGAGTTCATTGAGACCTGTCAAAAGGTAATGGTTAGAGATGCATTTGTTTCAATCAGTTATTTGGCTTTGGCAAGAGTGTTTATTTGTAGAACACCATTAATACACAAAGCACTGCATAATGTCAGAGACAGGAAAATATGGTAAATCAAATCATTAAAATTTGATTTTAAAATTTAAGTTAAACTGGTGAAAATAAACTCTACTATGTGGGAAAGCAGGAAGAATTTTTGACAGTGACATCCTTTTTTTATTACCACACACTAAAACCTTTAATCGAATCAAACCATGGGAGCTTCCCTAGCAGACTAGGCCTGGAGCTTCAGTGATAGTTGTAAAAATATTTCTAATTTTCCTTAATCTGTACAGGGAAAAGAAAGCTTGTATAGTTATGTGAGAAATACTGAACCTGTGTCTTGTCCATAGTCATGGTCATAGTACCATTAGAACTACCATTAAAATGTGCTTTCTCTAGTCTGTTCCAGCTTTTATGATAATACATTATGGTCACATGTATGAAAAGAAAGACTAAGGTATTTTTGTCTTCTGTTGCTTTGAATGCAGGACGAGAACATCATGAACTCCATGCAGCTGTTTGAGAACGTTATATAGGAAGGATCTGAAAACACATGAGATCTGTTTCATTTTCATCACCATTTCACTTCTCTTATACCTCCCAAACAATTTAAACCCACGACATCCGGGCCTTTTATGTTTAACTAGAATTGTTGCCTACGTTTGTGGCATAATCTTTAGCAGTATGTTGTGCTTTCCTCTTGGATTAAAAGAACGGTCGCAGACAACAGTAGAGCTTCCTAGGTGAAGAAGGCCATGCCTCTCTATTTTGTGTCTGTGTGTACCTGGTATTATCAAGCAGCAGTGAAGTCACTTCCCATAGTCCACTGACCTGAGCAAACAAGGACACCTAGCTTTACACTATGAACCACTGTGTTTCTGCCTCTGACTCGTGGCAGAGTGGAGAAAGAGAATGAATTCTAGCATGTTTGTTTTCAAAGATGTGATGTGGAATTAGCTTGCACTTAAGTTTTGAGACCATTTATTAAATGTGCCTAAAATACAGGCACTGTAAATATATGCACCGGATACACAAACAGTGTGAATGTATATATGTATAGTGACAGTTGCATTGGTATTCTCTGTGCTGAACTGGCTAATAGATTAGAGAGAGGTAAATATTTATTTAAGACATTTCTGTTTATTTGTTTCCAACTGTTCTTCACAAGTGTTTCCTTCATTTTGTACTTTGTAAGATGTAATGAAGTTGCAATGGTAAGTGTATACAGCGCTGCAAAGATGCAAATGGACTGTAAATGGTATGTCGTTGTACGCTAAATTAAAGTTTTGTCTTGGTTCCACAGTATCTATGAGCATGCTGACTCTGTGTAGTGCCAGAGTGACATGTACTGTAGAGTGGATAATCTATGATGTCAGTTAAATAAAGATTATTTCAAGAGCCTTGATTTGTTGGTTTTATTTAGATCTATCTATCTACCTACCTTTTTTATTTAAATGTATTTAATTATTACCTTTTATCTCTCCATCTATCATGCTAACTGTCCTAGCGCACTGGCTAACTACTTAGCACACTAGCTTACTATCTGTCCATCTAGGCTAGCAAACAACTTTAAATTAATAAATAACTTACATTAATTTTCAACTACTGTAATCCCAGTATTGTTATATTTTTCAACATTAAAACTTAACCCTATTTTATTACTCAAACCTAAACACGTGATGTTTTACGATACAATGCAGTAAAAATGTATCAAAAATGAACTGTCTCTTCTGTGAACATTATAGTAATACATTTACTAAAGGCTGCAACCATCTACCATTTCTAGAAATTTCTTTTCTGTCCGTTCACCTGTATATTACAAGCACATGTTCGCAGATACTAGAGTTTTGTTAGAGTTACAACGTTTGCCCTTAAACTAACGTTTTCGTATAACTGCAATGCAGCTAAACAACCCTTAGATGGTAGTGTTGTTTTAATTTTTAACAAACGGATTGTGCGAAATAAAAGTTTAAAACAAGAACCTGATCATTTTAATTATGTATTTTTTATATTTATTGTTACATAACTGTGTTTGTAATTTTTTTAACCATTCTTACCCAAAGACACACAGCACTGTTCGTACACATTGATGAACTGAAGAATGTAATTTGAAAAACATTTTTAATGTATATAAACGAGCAAACATATTTGTAGTCTGCGTTTTCTCCTATATGTATTTGTATTAATATTGGGTATTGACATTGTATTATCGATGCTGGAGCTGAAATAATCATGCTACAAGTTCAGAAACATCATAATTTCCACTGAAGTAGAAGTAACCTGCACACTGATCAAGCAACATCTCTTTAAAATCGGTCTTAATCTGTTGTTATAACAAACGAGACATATTTACAGGTCAGAAAAAACGGTTGGAAAGGTTTATAGAACCAATAGCTGAATCTGCTGTCAGGATCGACCAGAACCAGCTGAACACTGCAGGACCAACGCCCTACTACTTCAGCTTCACGTTCAGGCAGAAACCATGTGTGATTCTGTACCACACTTCTGGACGTTACTGGTATATCCAGATGTCGAGGAAGGCCTGTTGGAACTTCCGAGAGAAAAAAGGGCTTTAAAAACCGCCGGATTGTCAGCAGGACCATATTTGATCACATTTTTGCCTGGTGGGGATAGTGCTGCTTGTTGGACATCTAACCGTGGAGGTTGAATAGAGGTAACTTGATGATTGCCTGAATTAAATTCACGTACTCTCCTTCTCCAATATCTCATCCTCTGGACATATTCAACTTCGCGTTTCGGAAGTTCTTCCTCAACAACATCCTGTGCAGCATCTGCCCCAAATCCAAAGTACCTCTTTAGCATCCAGACAATGGCACTGGAGATGCAGAGCAGTTTAAACAGAACAACAATGCCCTGAATCCATATATCCATGGCTGAACCCCTCATCTATTAAGGCAGATCTATGCTCCGTGCTAAGTACTCATTTGAGGCCTTTCACCAGTCCTCTTCACCTGCGTAAATCAGTTCATATTCAGCGAGTTTTCGGATGCTTACTTATTTGCAGGAAAAGGAGCAGTACTACCGGAAGTCATGGGGGCGATGTCGTGCAAACAATTTAGCTGCAAATCACACAGCGTTAGACAGGTGTCTAGGAGTACTGGCTGACCGAAATGAGGAAGGACATTTGCTATTGTAGCCGTGTCGTCTTTAGGTATAAGAAGCCAAATGTTTACCTGAATTTTAACCAGTTGGCTAATCTGAACTTTAAACACAGTGAATCAACATTTTGTCCCGGCATTGTTTGTCTATGTAATGTTCTTGCCTCTCCTTCAGATGACACCATCATACGAACAAAGATTTGGTCTATAATCCTATAGGTCAGCAGATTCAACAAATTATTCGCAAAAGTCATAGAAGCTTCAATGAAATGATCAACTATTAAATTTTAAGAAAGACAAATATAAAAGTACACCTTACATTTTTATGATACAGTATAAAAATCAATATATTTTTGAAGGAAGCAGAAATGCAAAACATTAGAGAGAAGAAGAGATTCAGTCTTCTCCAAATAATGAAAAAATGAATTTGAATCATTGTTATCTGTGTTTCTTAATAAAATCTGCATTCATTTTCTTGATGCTAATCTTCTGAAGATTGCAATCTGAAGATTGCTAATCTTCAGATTCGGAAAAGAAGATTCTTTAAGAGTAAACTTTTAACGACAAAATGAAAGGGTGTCAAGAGGGACACATCTTGTGTCTGCATCTTTTGCCTCAGTTAGCGGACCACAGAGGGAGGGAAGGACCAGTGTTACGTCATCATTAGCTGTGTTGTTATTCGCTGAAAAGCAGGAGAGGCGGGCTGGGGATCTATGAGTCATAACACAACGTGGTCCTGCGTGATGACGAACGTCGACCCCCGTCGCTTTATGAAAGGCAAGCTCCCTCCGTGAGTCGCGCGTCGGTGTGTCAGTTAGTTGTTGTGTAAGACAAGAAGCTCCTCATGTTAAGAAGCCGTCTCCAGAGCGCACTCGTCTCATCTACGCAGGTCATTCTCGGTGTGTATCCACCGGCTGTGAGTGTCGCTGCCTCCGTCCGCTCAGGTCCAACCGAACAGACCAGGGAGAAGAGTCTACGGTTAGCTGAGAAGGGAAGTGGGCTCCGCTTGCTCGTTTCGTCAGACAGGTGAGCAGACAACGTGCTTTTTTTGTTCTTTTGAGACAGACGACTTATACATGTGGACGTTAGCCTGTTGGTTTCGGATACGGCGGGCAGCGAATCATTGTCGTGGCTACAGCCAGGGCTCCGGCTTGAGGTAGCTTGCGGTTGAGTCGCAACGCATTCGGGGATGTGGATATGTTAGTTTTAGTAGTGTGTAGTGATACATACATACTTATTTATCTAGTCAGATTGTGAATACGAACTTAAGACAATTCTCAGCTTATCACAACACAGTCCTAATCTCATAAATACCTAAGTACAACAGACGTGGTGTCCGGGCTTTGTGATGGTTGATGATGATTTTAGAAGACCGATGAGACCGATGAGGCCGATTTGTCAGCAGTCAGCGCTGACTGTCCTTAGATCGACTTTTAACACAAAACCTGGGTAAACATGCTGTCTTTTTCTTATTTAATGTGAGCAGCATTGCAACGATATATCACCAACCACCAACTTATTAACATTTACATGTCAATCTGTAGGTGTGATGGTGTTAAAGAATGTAAAAAAAGTATTGTAAAAAAGTATGTATTTTATTTCACTGGTTAATTTTTCTCACTAATCATTTAGTTAATGAGCGCGTGTGCTCCCGTATAAAGGTGTTAAAAACCTCTAATCAAGGGATTGAAGTAACCCTGTATAATTGTGCCAAATTCAAATATTTACTTACAAATACAGAAATTAAATACAAATACAAATATATCTAATACAGTGGTGACACATGGTGTTCTGACTCACAGGCACTCTGTGTGTTTACTGTGTTTTCTTAAGAAAAGATTTCAATTCTTCCAATTCATTTCAGTGTGACACAAACAAGGACTGTGCCACAGAAACAACTGTTTGTCTGTTTCCTGTCTGTACTTGATCTATCGGAAGCTCATGTAAATACGTTTCAGCCTGCCATGTGGAAAGTTCTGTTATGTATCTTACTTAGACCTAAATCCCAGAGTGGTTTGCGTCAGGAAGGATTTACAAATATCTCGATCTTGATAAAATACTGTTGAAGGATTGTTCACATATATACATTTGTGTTTAGTGCCCACCCAACGTATTTTAAGGCTCAATGGGGTCTCTTATCAGTGGAGCTCGGCTGCATTTGCCAAAATCTGATTAAGAATAATTAGAATGGTTTATGATTTATTATATTATTTTATTATATATTTTAAAAGTCACAAACCTTCGCGACCCAAGTCAATAGACATTATTCGTTAACTCCTGGGAAACATGATGTGAGACGACCCACCCAAAAAAAACATGCCGGAGTCATTGTGCACAAATCAATTTTCCATCCCTTTGTGCTGCATTTTTTTATCTCTATGGAGATAGATGACAATGCTGAGTGTGTGTGTAAAAACCTTTATCTTCCATCATGACACCTTAGTCATCGTGATCTTTTTTGCCATTTGATGATGATTGAGATAATCTTTTTTTACTCACTGACTTATTGTAAAAGTTGTTAGAGAATCTTACCTCACTGGAGGTTAATCCAGGCTGCTCCTGGATCAGGCTCACTGAGCTGAATTGGGTCATAGAAATGGATTCTTGGCCCGGTTTGTCGTAGACGGCATGTGATTATGATTACACTGTAGTGCTGGGTCAAGCCTTGGCTTCCTACTACGCTGTGTTCAAATTTGTGTATGTGGTTACATAGTGGGTGGATTTCTGCTTTCCATTTTTAGGTGCTTGCACTGCTTTGTAAATGCTGCTGTAACATCTACGTTTGAAAACATTTACCACCTGCTTCATTGGACTGCGTCACTTCTGGCTTGCTGTAACGAGTTGTGAATATATCAGTATTCAATGGAATTTTTTTAAGCTGAACATGTTGCTGCCAGCAGGGGCACAGTCCTGATAGATGCGATTCTCCAAAATGTTGAAAATGTGATTAATTTACGATGATGCCTCTAACTAATGCCACTGTTTAAAACTATGTTTCACACTTGCGTATTTACGGTTCATGTGGCTAAAACTGTTGAAAAGTTCACCTTTTTCAAATGAATTCAAATTAACGTTTGAAGCATTCAAATAAACACCAAACTTGTAAAAGGTTTTTGTTTTGTTTTTTTAGGAAAGTGATGGATGTGAGCTGCTGTTAAAACTGATTTTTTTTTCTTTTGTCTTTTGTCATTAAATCAATACATCCTCTCCAGCATATGATGCTTTTAGGTTAACAAGTTATTGAGTTTTTTTTTATTATTTATGTTTCCTCCTTTTTGGGACACAGTTTTGAAATGAGCACTTCTACGTGTTTTTGATAGGGACGTATACCATATTTTCCTGTTTCCATTTTTGTTTTCTGTAAAATATTTGCTGGGTGAAAAAAACGTGTATCAAAGACACATGAATGAAAATGAATGCTTCATCTGGAAATACTTTTCTTTCACACCATAGCTTATAACAGCAGTCCCCAACCATTTTTGTACTAAGGACCAGTCAGCCAGTACTGCCGTCTGGTGTTAAGGATTGGTACATTTTCTCATTGATCATCTCATCTCATAGACTTTATTCTGTTGGTATATTAGTTGGAAAGATTATTTTAAGAAACTGCCAGATTATCTTCAATAAAAAAAGTAAATGGAAATGAGCTGGTTCTCTTTAATTAAGTTATAAAGTCCTTGTGGCCTGCAGCAGCCCAGTACCAAATGACCCAGGGACCAGTATAAGTCCATGAACCGGGGGTTGGCGAATATTTCTAATATTCTGTATTTCTAAATCCATTCAGTGCCACTAGGGGGTGCGCAAGATATAAAAATGCATTATGCAGTTGTAGCTTCGGTAAACAAATTGACATCTACAGGAATACAGTTATTACAGTTTTATTTACACCAGAAATGGCCCCACTTACAGCCAGTGTTTTATTAATGTCGTTGGCCTTGAATCGTCCTTGTTCGTCTCTGTCCTTGTTATAGTGTTTTGTAGAAGCCCCAAACACCTGCCTTGCCCTCTGCGTCAGTTCCCTCTCTTTATTCATCAGAGGCCAGCTGTATCTGGAGACTTCCTATCGAGTGTATTCTTATCAACGAGCCTTCACATTTGTTTTGTCTCTCCGCTCCCAATATTAACTCTCTGTATTAACTGATTGTACTAAACCACCCAACAACCTTTTACAAGTTTGGTGTTTATTTGAATAATTCAAACGTTAATTTGAATTCATTTGAAAAATGTGAATAGTTTTAGCAGCATGAACCGTAAATAAGTGTGTAAACAGTGGCATTTAGTTAGAGGCATCATCATAAATTAATCATGTTTTCGTAAAATCAAAACTAAAAATAAATTTAACTATCAGCAGTTAATACCTATAATCTGGGCTTTGGGGCTAAACTGTTCCTGTGACTGTAGGTAATGCAAGTACGCTCTTTTTTCTTTTCTTTTTTTACTTTTTTTTTTTTACATCTAACCTTTACTGCTAGTCAAGCATTTCTGAGAACATGCTGTGCGATTGTAGCCGTTGCTTTGAGACGGGGGGATAAGAAATCCTCCAATTCCCTGCTCCCATGACTGAATGCAATTGTGCTGTCCTGCTTCTTTGGTCAGTTGACACAGATATGTGTGTTTAAACCCCAGCATGAGGCAAGTCCTGCTGTCAGATTGAACATTAGGTGAGAACAGAGGGAGGGTGAGAGAGTCGTTTGGAAAAATACACAATGCAGAGTTATTTGTTTGAATGTGACTTAAATTCCCAAACTCGTATGGCATATGATGTTGATTAATTATTTAGTTTAGCACTAATTCCATTTCTGATAACACTATTCCAAGGAGTGACATCACAAACATTTCATTCAGTTCAGGCAACTGGATGTAAATTTTCTAAAAGAAGACGTTTCACCTTTTGGATGAGAGGTTTTTAAATTTCAAGATAAAACTGTTGAATATTCTCACTATAATGTTGGAAAATTCTACCAATTTCACACCAATTTCACACCAATTTCCACTGTTTCTTATCCCAAAATCCAGTTTGATATCACTGAATGTTTCCAACCTACTTGACGTTAACATAAAAGGGTTATAGTTGAGAAGAAAAACAACAACAACATTTGATCGCAACTCAGACCACGTTAAACAATCATTGTGTCCTGTAAATTCTGTCATTGTCCACTCTTCAGTTCTCAGAACTGAAGAAGCCTCTTGGATGAGAGGTGAAACGTCTTCTTTTAGAAATTCACAGTTGCCTAACAGAACTTTTCAACCTACACCGACAGTGTTTTTCATTTGAAGTTCCAGTAAGACTAGGGTTTGATGCTCTTTTAGTAGTCTGCACAGTGATCTGGTAGAGATTAAGGCAACCCAGCCTGGTATATGGGAACAAGGTGGTATTGAACCCAGATCCTTCAAATGGCAGGCGGGCAACCTATCACTGCACCACTTTGACCCCTTCAACTAATCCTCTGACTAATTGAGGAAAAGGGAAAGTGTTTCGTTTTTTAAAGAAAAGTTTAAACTGAACTTTATTGTATTCATTCTCTTTTTTTCTGCCCCAACTAAAAACAAGTGCACCACTTTTACTCGGTTTGTGACCGTTTCTCTGGAAATTGCTGTTTCTGTTTCAGGCATTTCAGAAAGGGAAAGGCCGATTGTTTTGTGCGATTGTGGTACTAAACCACAACAGCTGACACGTGTGTCTTACAAATGGTTGGGTAAAAATATACTGGTAACATATTTGTGTCAGCCGTTCTCACAAACAAATACATACAGAATCTTTAAGCTTGGCAAGGTTACGAAATACAAATGCTGGTACAAGAGTATACAAGAACTACCCATAATGCAAAGCAGTCAAGGTCTGTGAGGGAGGTTCTTGGAGGATTACCATGTGAGTAAAAAACATGGTCAGAAGCAGTATTATCAGTAACAGACCATTATTCCTCCTGTCGGTCAACAAAACAATAGTTATTTAAAGGACAAATGCGTATACTATTAACACACAGGAATAATAGCTGACATTTATTCAGTGCAATTTAATGCAAAGCAAATTCAATAAACTTGTAATGTAAGGACGTGTGGTGATGACCTTTAAAAAGCCACTCTGTGAATGTGGTGGTCCATTAAACGCCTGTGGGAAATATTTATTGTACACTTTGAAGAGCAAAAGCCAATGAAAACAAACTGTCTTTTGTTGGTTACAGTGTAAATGAGTGCTTCTCTCAGAGTTCTTCCATTTTAAACCAATGAGACTAAATGGGTTTATCGCCTTGTTACTGTGCAAAACTCGGAAAATGAAGAGATCCAGTTTATTGTTAAAAGGGTTGCCAAAAATAGAACCATCCCTACTTCCCCTGCAGGGGTGCTACAAACACATTTGATTGTCAGGGTCATAAATTCGATACCTAGTCGGCTCTAACCCTGGAACTCGGGTCACAACCTTATGAACTAGAAGTGTTGCATCAGGCAGCACTGACTAGAAATTATTAAGTTGGTTATTTTGAAATGCCCTGCTCGGCCAGCATGGGTTTGAACCCTGCAATCCTCTGATTAAATGATGATACAATCTGACAAGCCTATTTTTCTTACAGCTGCTCTGAAACAGGAACCATTGATAAGAACCACGTTCATGCCTGAGATCTTATGTTGTGCTTTAAAATAACAAAACAATATCACCTTCACTGCTTGAGTTACATTTTGTCTTCCGACGGTGGCTATTCAAAAGAGAAAATACCAGTAGACAGCTGCATTTCTGAAATGAGTACAACATCATACACTTGTTACTTCTCCTTTTCTTTAGTTAATGTCTATCAGTTGTAGCTCTATGGCTCACACTAGTAAGTTGTCAGGAAATCCTTTTCTGTCAAATTAACTTTTGTTTCACCCTCCCCTTCCTTCTCCTCCTCCACATCAATTACCCTTCTGCCTCGCTCCTCCATTTCCTCCCCTCCTATCTTTCTTTCTTTCTCTCTGCTAATTTCTCTCACACCACCTGCTCCTCCATTCTCTTGCCCCTTTTCACACAGATGCTTCCAGCCGCCCAGCTTGACAAGAATGAAGGAATGTGTCAACTAGGTATTACACATATCCTAACATTTTATACTGCAACCAGGGAGTCTCAATGAGAAAAAAAACTGCAGTGCAAATGGGGGAAAAAAACTCTGAGTTAGGACAAACCAGTGATGGACAATTTAATGCCTCATATCTGAACAGTACTGTGATCTTGTTGTGGTACCAATGACAGACAAAGACACTGCATTTTAAAAAGAAACTTTAAGGCCACGTGTCAAAAAGTTGTAAGAGAGAATATTATATTTCAAAAGGTGTGTGAATTGTAAGAACTAAAGCATGTTAAGATGCAAAGTGTCCTCCAACCATTAGAACTGTAGAATTTTGATTCCAGAACAAATATCAAGCATTCATCCAAACTTCAATGGGATTGTTGTTCCAAAAACTGAAACCACATCTAATTAGAACTGGATTTTTTAGATGAGGCAAAGATACAATTTGTGACCTGATTTCAAAAGACATACACCAGGATTCTCCAAAGAAAGAGTGACCTGATGGAAACGCAAGACCATGGGTGTCAAACTAATTTTGTTTAAAGGGCCGCCTACAACCTAATTAGATGTCAAGCGGGCTGGACCAGTCATTATGTCATAACACAATTACATATAAATAACAAAAACTGCCCTTTACATAAGAAACATGTTCATATTGAATGAAATATAATTTAACAAATTGTCGTTAACAATTGTATTTGTCTTTTTTCTTTTCAAGAGGGCTGGATTGAAACCCTAAGTGGGCCAGATTTGGCCCACAGACCATATGTTTGACACCCTTGCTCAAGACTTTTGTTGGGGAATATTAAAAAAATAAATAGATTGAAAAATAAATTAGATAATTTGTCTTAGAACTTTGTGACTTCAGTATTTTCATTGGGGGGAAAAAGAGTTTCTGGATGAACAAACTCGTAATTACCAGACAGGATCACAGTGGCAACCTTACATTTGAAACCAATTTTTAAATTCTGTTTAGACACTCTAACACCACAAAAAAAAAGAGAACTCAGACACCAGCAAAGACTGGCTGTGAAAACCACAATCCAAATCACACTGAGCAGGAGCTACTGCTTTTAAAGGCCATCGTCTGTGTCAAAGTCAAACTCTTGCTGCGCTCCTTCTTTTGTAACATGCCATTGTTTGCACACAGCCCTGAGGGACGACGCAGAACCATGTGTCATGTGTTGTCATGTGGAATGGTTTTGTTCCGTTTGATCACAAATCCATTCTTGTCTGCAGAGGAAACAAAATCTGTCTCGCTTTTTTTTTTTTATATAACTTCAAAGCTTTTTGTCAGATATTTGTAGGTTTATGTTCCATAATTGTTGGCTTCACACATTTTATAACATTGTTTTATAAAGCTTTACATGCAAGACCGTTATACACATTTGACAAATTACTTTTTCTCAAATGGGGTAAAAACTTGGTGTTTTTGCTGTGCTGTGTAGGAATTTGCTGCGTAAAATGTTAGCGCTCTGATATTAGCTTAGTATTATTACTGTATAAAGGGAATGTACACCGTGGCTTTAATACTGGGTAATACAGCAACACCACCTCTCGATTTAAAAAAACTTACTTCTGTGGATAAGTCACCAGTGACGATGAAGTGATCTCATCTTGTTCAAGTTACATCACTACTATTACATGTTCTAACTATTTTTTTTTAAACATGAGTAATATTGAGAATGTTCCCACAAACGACTAAGTCTGAATGGACACTCTGAATTGACCTCTCGGTGTAATTGTTGCTCCCTAAATGTGACATGGACTGATGAGCGGTCCAGGTCCCCACCCTCGCCTGTCGGCAGCTAGCTCCAGCATCCTCGCCCACAAAGGAATGAGGAAATAGATATGGATAGGATTTAGATATTGCTCTTATTCAGATGCTGAAGTGAGAAATTCCCTTGGAGACTTGGCTTTCTTATTATAAAGAATTTTAATTATTATACTTCAGTCAGAAAAACCACAAAAATTAAATGTTGAGACAATAGCATTAGCATTAGCACAGAGACTAGCATGTAAGCTACTTATATGTTTGTGTGTCAATGTTGATTATGAAAGGAGTAATAACAAAAAGGTTTGGTTTTATTTTTTTTCATTTTTTATTTTTTTGGTAAAAACAGCCAGTATTACAATAATGACTTTGGGCTGTTTAACTCCTAGGTTGTCAGCAAATGCCTGCCTTTTGCAGTTGCTGCAATTGTGTTTAAAAGTTTACATGCAAAATACATATCTTTTAGAAACTTGGTCAAATATTCAAATATCTCATTTGGACATGGTGTGACGTTTGTTTATAAACGTGAAAATATTCCCTTGGTTAAAAATGTTTTAATTATCATTTTGACATTTTATGTAGATGTAGATTTTTTTTTTCATTTAAAAAATATCCACTACCAGTCTCAAGGGCAAATATAGTTTAAGTAAAAAACAATCTATGAAATGGAAATGGGTTTAACTCCTCATCACACACCCTGCAGGTTCTTTGACAGAATTTAATGTTAAAATTAGATTGATATACGTGAAATTTTTCATTAACCTTTTTTTTGGGGGGGGGGGCTTTTTTCCAAGCAGATGAGCCATTTCTCAAGGATGTTATTGGACTGAAGAATTCATCTGCAGTATTCACACCAGAAGAAGACAAAGGAGGGACAAGAGAGAGGCCAGAGAAGGAGGTGGAAGTGACTGACGAAGTTGAACTGGACACAATGGGAGTAGGAAAAAACACCACCTCTAAGTCGATGGATGGTGGCAGTGAAGGAAAATTTGAAGAGGAGAACAAACACAGCGCTGATTTCTACCCTGTTTCGGTACATGACTCTTTTATTGTCTTCTTAATGGCCACTTCCTTCATCAGACGCAAATCTGCTCAGTCATCGTAAACATATCTGAGGCCAACGTATTTTGTGGAAAGAACAAAAGAAAAGAAGAATAAAAAAACGAGACAGACTAGATTTGTACGTTTTACACCATATAATTACTGTCCCTTTCTCTCACACCCCGCCTCCGTTTGTGTCTCGCATGCCCAGAATTGTTCCTTCTGTTTGTCTGGAATGCATATGAGTGAGTTTCTGTGTGCACTCTAGGTTATAATGGCTCATCGACAGTTAGTTTATGCTCCAGTCCGTCCGCTTCCTCTGTTTGTCTGGTTGGGTCCAGGCCAGAGCTTCATGTCGGTTAAAGGGGAAAGTGGTAAAAGTCGGTATGGTTCAATTATAACAACGTTGAAAAATCACACAGATGAAATATTACATTTGGATGAATAAAGTGAAAGCATAAACAGTACCAGGATGAAGGTCATATTTGACCTTATTGTTGTTTATGCGTTATGCCTAATCATTCCATTCAACTTCAGTTCAGATGTAGCTAAAGCAGCTAATGCTCCTAGCTCTCTGTTAGGACATAAGAGTAAAAGAAATTATTATGAGATTTCAGTCATTTGTTGTGATCACATTAAATCGTTGTGAAGCGGTGATAGCCTCCCATAGAGACATGGAATTTTCCACCAAATTTCAGTCACACATGCAGCGATGTTCAGTCTTTGATCTCATAGGCTTGGTTCAGACACAAAACTGTTCACGTGTGGGCCAAATTCTCACGAGTATTACTGGAATTATAATCAGGATTACCCACTTTACATTCGCCAGTGTGCAGAAGAACTCTGTGATGAAAGCTTCAAAGTCCATGTGTTTGTATGCACAGGTGCTCGTGAATGGAGCCAGTGGGGCCAGCGGAGACCAGGACACTGAGAACACAGAGCTGATGGCCATATACACTAAAGACATTCAAAATGCAGAGAAGGTGAGTTATGGCACAACGTGCAGGAATGAGAAACCAACATTGTAGCTTCTGGCTGTTGGTGTAACTTTTACACATGACCTCACCAAACAGAGGGAAATAATTACAATCACACTGTGCCAATAGAAACTATTTTTTTTCACACATGACATTTCTGTAAAGTGTAACATCATCGGCCCAAGGGTTGGAGAGAAGAGTCAATACCAGACTGGGAGGTGTTATGTTTTCCAACAGAAGTGATAAGCCTTTAAGTCTTTTTTTTTTTTTAATCTTATTTGACTTTCACAAATCTAGTTTAAGCTTTCATTGCTTTTTCAAAACATTTTCTTTGTGGTTTAATTTTTATCTGGACTTTAGCACCCAAGTCTGAGGGAGAGGAATGCAGGAGGGTCAGATGCCACATGTTGGCGATAAAAACATGACGTCCACAGGGACACTAATGGTGTAAAGATTATCACTTTACATGTGTGACCAGTGATCCATCTGTGCTGAGTCACAAATGCAGAGGAATCAATTCACTTGGCTCGTCTGAGTCGGCACTCTCACTTTGCATTTTTCCCTGAATGTGTGAGCTGCGATGATTGAGAGGGAAATCAGTAAGTAACGTAGAAATGTTATTTCTCTTGACATTTAAACAATAAATACAATGCATGGTAACAGAAGTTCAAGAAAATGGACGTCAAAAAGACGTCATAAAGGTTCAGCCCCAACTGTTAGCCACCAATAACACTATAATAGTTTGAACCTTTGGTGTAAAACCCTTTCTGGTTCAGCGGCCAAACGCAGCTTAATTAGATGAGAAGTGGGCCGGACCATTACTTATTAATAACAATAAATCCATGTTTCTTTCCCCTTAGGTAGTTTCCATGCAAAGAAGTTGAAGTATATTAGAAAATATTAATATTTAATGAAATATAATTTTACAAAACATCAATCATCAAGTGGGCCGGATTGAATTCCCTAACGGGCTGGTTTTGGACCACGCACCTTATGTTTGACACCCCTGGTTTAAACTGTAAGCCTCTAAATTGATGCATTTAATGAAGCTGAAAACAGCAATCAAAGAATAAATATAAGTTCCTACAGTGACAATCACAGTTACTGCCCTGAGTGGGGGCGTGAGGGGTGAAGTTAGGAAACGTAAGGAGATTAAAGGAGAAAGATATGGATCATTACTGAACTGCCATAAAAAAATACTGAATACTACTAAAATACTACTCCGAAACGGCAGCTGGCACCACCCCTCATGTCACCGTTTCTTGGTGCTTTTAAATCTTTATTCCCACTGTCATAATCATAACTTTGCCTGTTTCTAATGGACAGTCTTGAGACACAGCATGTGTGTGTCGTTGACAACACTCACATGAATGATGTTTGTTTGTGTGTTTCATGATCTTGTAGAGCTCAATGTCGGAGACACTGGACAGTACTGACAGTACTGATGCTCGACGGATGGACATGATTTACACCATTGAAGACACTCCGCCCTGGTACCTGTGTGTTTTCCTGGGCTTACAGGTAGAGTCTTTGATTAAACAGTTTTCTAGTCCAGTATCGTGTGTATTGCACTTTTAGAAGTGGATTATTTTGAGATTGGTTTTTATTTTCTTTTGTCATGTGACAGTTCAGCCTCTATGTGTGTTTCTGAAAAATAAATAATCTGCGCTAACAAGATTAGTGCCGTCGATTGATTGAAATTTGATTGAGTTTGTTCTCATACTCGGTGTCACTTGTCGAAATATTTTTTTTAGTTATTTTATTATTATTTTACATTATTTATTATACAGCAATGTCACTCCCACCCCAGTAGATGGCAGTCTAGGTGACTACCTATGTGGCCTAGGCCAAAAGGGACTGAAAACCTGAACTGAGAGATAAATCTTACATTACCTAATATACTAGACCACTGTGGCTCAGTGGGCCAGATGCGACCCCCTGGGCTTTTCTAATCCTGCCCACCGGACACTGGTTCACAGTATGGTAAACACTGATGCTAATTCTTGTGATCAACTGTGATGTCTCTTGATGCCACTACAGGGCAGCAGACATCAAATGTCCCAAATTATATTTAAAAGTTTAAGTTTCTTCTTTGGCATTTTATTTAAATTATTATATAGCCAACCATACTAAACCAGCCGACCAATCAATTTTGGTCCTTGAGCGAAATAGTTTGCCCCTACCCCCTTCATTTGACCAACATGGATGAAATTGTGTATTTTTCTGCAGTGTTTGCAGATGTAAAATAACACACAGTCTGTATGTTTATCTGGGTTCTACAGCACTACCTGACCTGCTTCAGTGGGACAATCGCCGTGCCCTTCCTACTCGCTGATGCCATGTGCGTTGGGTTTGATCAGTGGGCCACCAGTCAGCTCATAGGGACCATCTTTTTCTGTGTGGGCATCACCACCCTACTACAGACCACCCTGGGCTGCAGGTAGAGAAAACAACACTCTTCTAAAATGAGCACATTCAGAGTCGGGGCGTCTGCACAAACAATAATTAGCTGCGTCATCGGCATTTGTTTCCACTTCCTCTACTTAAAGTTTAAAAAGTGCCTGCACATGTACCAAAAAACTGTCGCAGTTCCTCTGGGCTCTCAGCAGCTCTAAAAGACCAGAACCTTTAGTCAGCTTTGTCAGCTCCACTGTCGCTGCCCCTCCTCTTCATGACACTGGAGAGGGTTCAAGTGTGTGTCAGCACATTTAAGTGGAAGCTTGATCACACTTTTTGTCATGATATGTTCACAAAAGTGCAGCGAGGACAGTAATTACCGCACGAAACAACGTCGTACAGCGTTGCTTTTCTTTTTTTTTTTTTTTTACAAAAGTCTAAAATATCTTGTCATGATATCCACAAAGTCATAATGACACTGAAAGAAATTAAGAAAAATAGACACTGTTTAGAATCAGCTCCAAGTCTGGACTGTGTTAAAAATGTTTTTTTTAAATAACAAGAATCCTGTGTAATCCTAGAAAAAATAACCTGGTACAGAAGGAAAAACAGATGTTGAACAACAGCTGGCCCTCAACAATGTTTACATTAAGTAGTAAAAAATAAAATATTGTTCTGTGTATGAGCCTGTGTAGCTTTGGATGTTACAGGTAACATTTCCACAGAGATGATAGTTTCTTATTTGATCAGCTGCTTTGGTAAATCCACAAGCTGAAAACGTATGCCTGGACTGTTGCATCAGGTCTAGGCAGGTGGTGTATGTTACCCCGAAGCTAAAATCGATTAAACACACACATTCGTCTTTGTCTCTGCTCTGCAAACCCCGTTAGAGCCGAATGTTCTTGGCTCCACCACTGCATCCACGCGTCAACACTACCTCATCTGACCCGACATTCTTCAAATATAAGACTCACGTTACCCCTACTGACTCTTAAAAATACATTCCACATCTACTTCTGTTTACATCTGTGTTCCAGTGTTTTGAATTGCTTTCCTTAATTCTAGCTGGAACTTGAAACAGCACTTGTTTGGGGGGGTGGGTTTTCATAACCAGATGTTCTCATATCTATTTACTGTTTAAAAATAACAAACTTATTTATTGACATCACACGTTGCCATGGATATTATCGTTTTGCTGTTTTAATAAAGGATAGATCCTGTTGTTGTGAGCTGACGGTTGTCAAACTCATGGTTTTTATTTTGTAATATACCCTAATCTTCCCATCAGGCTCCCTGAGCTCCTGGGTTATTATCTGTTATCTATTTTCTGTGTGCTGCTGCACACATTCAGGGTCACTCACTAACGTTTTTTTCTAATGAGTTACACTGTTCTTATAATTTAAAGTGGACATTATATGGACTATAAGTTGCACCAGCCAGCTAGAGTGCCCCCTAGCGCCTGTCAGTGTGAAAATAATGAACATGTAAATTTTCAGTGGTACAGGAGTAGCAGATACTGGTACGCAAGCATAGAGTGCCCTCTGGTGTTCGTCTGTGTGAAAATAACAAACATGTCAATTACATATTTTACTATATAAGTCACACCTGAGTATAAGTTGACAACCCAGTGAAAGGATGGAAAAAAAGTGTGACTTGCGTACGATGACCTGAAGTAGATGTCCTACAATCTGGAAATGAGTCTCAAAACTAGTTGTTCCAATTTTACGTGTTCTGTTATGTGACTAAGCAGGTGATTAGTGCTGTTGCTATGGTTACATGAAGCACTTCTTAGGTGTGTTTAAAAAAAAAAAAAAAGTCAAATTTGCTCAAATAAAAGCTGTGTTGTCCAATGAGTCACAGCGTCATGTGTCCAGTCCACGTCAAAGGATGACACGGGTGTTTTCAGGGAGGGTTGTGTTCATGTTGACACACGTCCAGGCGTATCTGTATGTGGAAAATTGTTTTTGCTGACTCACTGTGACTGTCATTTGCTTCCTTAAAATGTTGAATGGAAACATTTTGGTCAAACCTTGTTGTATTGACATTGACATTTGTAGCATGATTTTATTTTGCTGTTTCCCAGCAGATTTATTTTTCACTGTTCATGTTTTTCCACTAACGTAGAATTGTAATATCGCTGACCAGAATGCATCATGTTAACATGAACCCGTTGTTGAGGCCGGTCGTTCGGTCTCAGGTTTCTGTGGCTGTGGAGAAGCCGTTGTCACGGTGCAGAGGAAAGTGCCTCGAAACTGAATATTTTCATACAGCTCCACTCATGTCCTCATGTCTAAATATCATGTCTTTATAATCCAAAACCCGGGGTATTGTTTTAGTGTCTTACAGTAGGTATTACAGACAGATTATAACTTAATACTTTAGCTAACTTAATATTAAACCTTTTTTTTAATCTATTATCACATCTGAAACATTTTAAAGCAGATATCTGTCAACACCCTGACCAGTTTTTCCACCCGTTACCCACAAAAACATCTGTTGCTCACATCTCACTTCAGGTTTAGAATACATTTAGAATACATTTTGGTTTAGAATCAGTTCCAGGCCCAACAATAGCAGCCGGTGTTTCATATTTAATAATATTTTTGTTTAAAAAAAAGTCCCTTTTTACTCTTGACATATAAGTGGTTGATTTACTTCCCCCTGTATGTAAAGCAGTGGCAAAGTCATCTTTCATACTGCAAAAAAAAAAAAAAAAAAATTCTTAATGCTGATGTAATGGATGCTGGTGTGTGTGTGTGTGTGTATATATACATATATTTGTATATATATATATATACTGTCTATATATACTGTATGCATGTATGTGTGTATATATATATATATACATACATGCATACAGTATATATATATACATATACATATACATATATACACACAGTATGTATTTAATTTTTTTTGTTTATATTTTATTGTTTCTAGGTTGCCTTTGTTTCAAGCTAGTGCGTTTGCTTTCCTCGCCCCAGCCAGGGCCATCCTGTCCCTGGACAAGTGGAAGTGCAACACCACAGGTACCTACTTGACATTTCAAAAACAGACAGAGAGCGGTGTTTTACAGAATACTGGGGTCAGTGAAGTACCTTATGTTGCTACTAGGGATGGCTCATCATAATCATATTTGGTCTGAGCCCAAATGTTCAACTATGAACGCTGACACTATCAACTGGCAACTCATGACATTGGATGGATATGGGTATCGACAGTTACTACAAGTTGCAGTATCAGGATCGGACATGAAAATGTTTTATTAAATTATTCCTAGATGTTACGCAGCTTTACATACAGTCTATAAAAATATTGTTTATTTGAGCCCAACGTAAGTTTTCATAAGAGGCCTCTGAAAGGTTATATAAGTACAAAACAGTGAATATAATTGTGATTTGAAGTTTGATCTAAAGTTTTGTTTTCTACTCTGTTTCCCTCGTGTTTTTTCATAACCAGACGTTCCTGCATTTAACAGCACCGAGCTTCTTAACACAGAGCACATCTGGCATCCAAGGATACGGGAGGTAAGATGGCAGCAGAGGGAAACATGTGGCAGCATTAGCATTAGCAAGGTCAACATTTGTTAAGATTAATTCTATGTACAGTCAGCTACTTGTCTACCTACGTTTCATATAGAACATTTTAACTTTTTTAAATTGATGGACCTTATCAAAAAAACATCAGATAAAATTGTGTCAGAACGTGCAGCTGAGACAAAGTTTAAAGTCGATGGTATTAAAGACCACGCTTCTGTCATCAGTTTGCACATGCTCACCATAACTAGACTGTGGAGAATTAGCAAAGTGATCCCTGTTCATGATAGATGTTGGTTTAATGGGCTGTCATTGGGTTGAAAGGCACATGGTTGGAATAAATTCAAATAACAAATTCAATTATTTATTGAATGTGGATACTGTCCAGTTCTAATGGCCGCTTCCTGCAGTGCTATAACCATGACACACTGTACAATGTAAATCAACTGTTGGGTTGTTTTGTTTGTTTGTTTTTACCTGGCGATGACTTCAAAATAAGCCTGAATTGGCCTCAAATCCTCAGCTGATAATTCTAGAATGTGGTGAAAGATAAGATTCTCGTCCATGTACAGAGGCTTTTACCCAGTACTAGGAACATGTACCTGACAAAGTCACTAGTTTGTGTGCTATTGTGGTTTAACAAGCTAAAATTGAGCTATCTAAAAGGTAAAAATATGAATTTTTTAATAATTCTAATAAAAATAATAGCTAAGAAATATGTTCGCTTTATGCAACAATTCAAGAATAAATATGCTCTGGTTGGTTGAGACCCAAAAGTATCACGGGCCTTTGCCAGGACAAAGAAACTCTTTGAGAAAAAGAAACAAAATACTTGTTAGGGGCAGTGGGGGCTTAGTGGTTAAGGAAGTGGACTTGGGTCTGGAAGGATTCAGGTTTGAGTCCACCAGCTGCCAAGTTACCACTGAGATGCTCTGAGCATGGCACCGTCCCAAACACTGCTCCCCTGTCCTTAAAGCTGCCCACTGTTCACTTTGATTTTTTTAATTCTGATTTTTTTTTTTAACCCATCACCAGTTTGCAGAACCAAACCATTAAATTATAGACACTTGGTCATTAAAGAGCAGTTTTCTAATCTCTGTACAAAGTTGGAAATTCATATAATTTGTTTTTCTTCTTGGAACGAAGTTTAACATCTTTCTTCTGTGCATCTTCATTCAATTAGAACCAAGAGTCTTTGGCTAAATAAAAACCCAATAGGTCACATTTTAGTGTATCCCTGTGTTACGACAAAAAATACTTTTTTTTTTTTTTTTAAGAGTAGCTGTTGTTTGACACCTGACACCTCACATTGCAGAAGAGCCTCACATATTCAAACATTATGAATTACCTTTTTAAGATTTCCCATGGCACGTAACCATAAACAACACAGGTGCATCAATGCTAAATGAACAAAATGTTCAGTAAGACAGCGGCGTAGTGATGTACTTGTATCTGTGTTAACCTTTTCTTCAGTCGGAGCCAGGTGAGTCATTTCTTTCCCATTGCCATGTGGACGGGTATAAATCTAATCACAAAGAATCACACAATGGGGAGGGAACACAGCTGTGCTGCCAGATAATAAAGCTGCTCTGTGATGGTTGGTGACAGGTAAGAAGAACAAACAAATAAAAGACTGAACAAACAGGATTAGCAATCGGATGTGTATAATGAGAAAATGGAGAAAAGTGGTGTCAACCAGCGTGACCTCCTCCACCTGCGGTTGCCACCGATGTCCCTTACTTTTAAAATACAAGACCGTTTGTTACGGTGTCTTTCGATAACTGGATTTCACCACTGCACCCTGGTGGTGGAATGTTTGTTTATAATATAATATCATGTGTAATGTTTTAGTTATACATCATGTATACGGCATAGGGGTAGTGGTGGTTAATGAAGTGGATTTGGATGTGGAAGGTTTTAGGTTCAAGTCCAGCTGCCAGGTTACCACTGAGGTGCTTTAAGCAGGGCAATGTCCCCACACACTGCTCCCTGGGCACTTGAGCTGCCCCCTGCTCACTTGTATGCAGTGAAGTGCTGTGTCACAAAGACAAATAATTAGGGATGTCCAATAATATCGGCCGGGTGACATTAGCATAATAATGTAATATCTGTAAGGATTGGCAATGTTTTTTCCTCTGATAATGAAAAACCCATAACGCAGTGCCTGGGTTTCGCCAAATGGTGTGTGGCCTAAAAATAGTGTTAGGGACAAATGTATGTATATGAAAGTGTAAGTCACTAGATGGCAGCATTGCAGCTCATTTATTTAATGTATTTTAATAATCAGGTGATTGTATGCAAAAAAGTTAATATCGGACATCCCTACAAATTATTCACTTTTGTGTTTCTGTATAACTTTAGGGCCACTGCCAATTGTCACAACGCACAATGAGGATATGCAAATCTCTCCAAGCATTATTTTACTTTAACCTGAGAGAGAAGAGAGCCACTCACTGGTGCAGGGGTAGAATTCCCCATCTGGAGCATCTTGTCTGAAATCCTAGGTAGATTTTGCCAGAAAGCGCATCAGGGGTAGAAACTAAAGAGACGAGCTGAACACGTGTCTTCATTCACTAACTTTTTTTTTTCTGGCTGGAGTCGGCTGGAGTCAGTCCCAGCATTCATCAGGAGACTGTGGTCTACACACTAGGCAGTTGATCACAGAGCAATAAATGGGGACAAAAAAGGTCATTCACACCTTTGGACAAAGGACATCTAAAGACTAGGAATTAAGCAGCTAATCAGTTATCACCCTGCTGTAAGGCGAGCACCCTAACCACATCTTCCACCGTGCCACCCGATCATTTCTTCTTCTTGTCAGGAGGAACTACGAAGGCGTTCTGGTTGCACTTTAAAACAGGAGAAAAGATTGAGTAGTGTTTGAGGTGTGGTGACAAATGTTCTCTCTGTCCTGTCAGATCCAGGGGGCGATCATCGTGTCCTCTCTGATTGAAGTATGCATCGGTGCACTTGGTCTTCCCGGAATCCTTCTCAAGTACATCGGACCCTTGACTATCACGCCAACTGTAGCGCTCATCGGCCTCTCTGGTTTCCAGGCTGCGGGGGAGAGGGCTGGGAAACACTGGGGCATTGCCATGCTGTGAGTACAAAGTACAAACAAACCTCTGAAGATGATTGGTGGATTGGTGTGAGGTTGTCATCGGTTTCAGCTGAATCACTGAATCAGTCGTGAAGTAAAAAGATGACACCGGAGAAAACAATGGAAAACCTTGTCTTCCATTGAAAACTGTGAAACCGACTGCCATGCTCACAATGTTCTGCATTAGATGGTGTCTCCGCGGGCCCCGTGGCCCCGGCGGCCTGTTATGTGTTTGCTAGGTAAATGTCTTGTTACATTTAAAGGAGGACAAACAGGTGTGTGTGTGTGTGTTAGGTTAATGTCTTGTTACATCTAAAGGAGGACAAACAGGTGTGTGTGTGTATGTGTTCTTTTCTTTCTTTCTTATCTCACTCTTTGGCATTCAGTGTGTACAAAGTAAAAATTCCATTGTAAAGGGAAACCTGCTTTCCTTACGGTACACATGACAATAAATGCTTTGAATCTTTGAATAACATCCAAAGCTGTTGACGCTGCTTCTAATTAGCATTTAATTTGTAGCTTGGGGCTAAATTATGAGTAACTGTAAACAATAATTAAAGTTCAATCTCTGAAGCCTTGGAGCTGAAGGTAAAGCTGATAAGACAAATGACAAAAAACAAAATAAATGACACTTATTGTCCTGAAGATGAGAATGTACCAGATCACAAGGACTGCACTGATACAGGACTGGGACAAAGGGGACAATCCACCTACAGGCTGAGATCTGAATGGCATGTTTTTAGAGACGTTGGCACCTGTACTGTAGTGTACCAGATGAACAAGATCTTGTGATCTGTCTGCAGGACTATCTTTCTGGTGCTGGTTTTCTCACAGTACGCCAGAAACGTCCAGTTCCCTCTCCCTGTCTACAAAGCCAAGAAAGGCTGGACCTCCTATAAACTGCAAGTCTTCAAAATGTTCCCGGTGAGTAGAGTACACGACCTCGACATCAGAAATGTAATGTAATTCAAGTCACTGTATAAAACAGAGGCACAGAATACTGCAGGGAATGAACATTGGTCCTCTTCTGACCTCTAGTGGTTGTATCGCGAATAATGTACATCAACAGTGACTCAATATTTCACTAACTCGCTTGCAGCTTTTGTTGAAATGTTGAAACGTCACTTAAGCTGTTATTGTCAGAACGATATCGGTTTTGTTCCACATAAAATGTCGTCTTGGAAGATGACATGTTTTTCTAATTAGAGGAAAGTAAAAGTTTTAAATTTAATGAAGTATTAAACTAATTTTGAGGAAAGGTGATATTTGTTAGAAATGCAGTAAAAGTAAAAATTATTTACTTTTGTAAAACACACTATTTACTAATTAATTACTTGGAAATGAGAAGAAAAAAAAAATTCAAACTCATTTTCACCAGGGGCCACATCATCAATACAGTTCCTGTTCAAGGGCCGGTGGTAAATGGAAGACTGTATAGATCAGGTGTCCCTTGAGTTTGACACATATGGTTTAGACCAGGGGTGTCAAACATACGGCCCGGGGGCCAAAACCGGCCCGCTAGGTAGTTCAATCTGGCCCACTTGATGAATTTTGATAATAAAAAAAATAGAGATGACAATTAGATCATAATTTTTTTGTAAAATTATATTTTGTTACAAATGAATTAATATTAATAAATAACCAATATACTTCTTTTTATGAAAACACAGAGGAAGAACATTGTTAATTATAGTTAATTATGTTATGTTTGTAGTGGTCCGGCCCACCTGGCATCTAATCACGTTGTATGCGGCCCGTGAAACAGAATGAGTTTGACACCCCTAGTTTAGAGAGTGGAATTGTTTTTTCAATCTTAATATCTTATATATCATAATAAAATATAACTTTTCTGCCACAATTAACATACACTATTTGTCAAATTCTTTTTTTTTTTCCTCAGTATCATGTAATAAAATGTCCAACCCTCTCTTCTTCTGCCTTCTTAGATCATCATGGCCATTCTGGTTTCATGGCTGCTGTGTTTTATTTTTACTGTGACTGATGTTTTCCCGCCGGAGACGGATAAATATGGTTTCTACGCCCGTACTGACGCACGCCAGGGCATCCTCACGGCTGCACCGTGGTTCAAGGTCCCGTATCCCTGTAAGTGTTTTAAGGACAAAGGAGGAGGAAGTTTATGTGGATTTTTCTTTTCTTGACAGCACACAAACTTTTTGGTACCTGAGTTGCAGAAAGATTTAAAATTTAGTTTAAATGTGGCTGTTTCCCAACATTGACCTTTGACCTTTCACAGTCCAGTGGGGTTTTCCCACGGTGACAGCAGCAGGAGTGATCGGCATGATGAGCGCTGTGGTGTCCAGCATCATCGAGTCCATCGGAGATTACTACGCCTGCGCTCGTCTCTCTGGTGCTCCTCCACCACCCATACACGCCATCAACAGGTTAATGACTTTAATCTCCAACATTTATTCATTGCTAACTAATAAAGTAAACACAACAGGTGTCATTTTTAAAGTCTGCTTCTAATTCTAACTTTTTTTTCCCTCTTCCATCACAGAGGCATATTTATGGAGGGTATTTCCTGTGTGCTGGATGGAGTTTTTGGCACAGGAAATGGCTCGACCTCCTCCAGCCCAAATATAGGCGTCCTGGGAATCACCAAGGTACTGCACGACCTCACAGCGACCTCACACTCAAGCACCGAAGTCTTTGTCATGACTAACTGGTGTCTTGTCCTCCAGGTGGGAAGCAGGCGCGTGATCCAGTATGGAGCGGCCATGATGCTGCTGCTAGGCATGGTGGGTAAATTCAGCGCTCTGTTTGCCTCGCTGCCTGACCCCGTCCTGGGAGCTCTGTTCTGCACGTTGTTCGGCATGATTACAGCCGTGGGACTGTCCAACCTGCAGTTTGTGGACCTCAACTCCTCCAGGAACCTCTTTGTCCTCGGCTTCTCCATCTTTTTCGGCCTGATGCTGCCGAGCTACCTCAAGAAGAACCCTCTGGTGACAGGTGGGTGCTGTTCGGGTCTCTGATGTCTGATGCTAGGACCACAGACATGATGGTCTGGTTTCCTGTTGGAAACACATACAAACAGCTGTATTTATTTGTAGTATCTGTAGTATTTTATTTAAACTTTTTTAAAAGTTAAACATTTTTTTTGTTAGACTGATTGTATTTGAACATTTCTGTGTACATTTGCGAAATGTAAACACTGGAGGCCCTGAACGCTGCATTTGCTTTGTGTTGTGTCACGGAATGGCTGCAGGGGCAAAAGAGCAACAGAACGGTTCTGTTGACTGAACAAATACGGCGCATGGGAAAAAAAAAAAAAAGAGAAAACGTATCTTGTGCACACGAGGTAATTTCTCGTGACGTTCTCATGAGCACGAGAAAGTATTTCTAAGACATTTTGCCACACATACATACAGGGTAATACATACATCATGTACAGTACGTACGGTTGGGAAATCTAAGATACCGGCATGTCATGCGTGACATATGTACTGTATATTTGGTGAGCATTTAATTAATGTAGGATACCTCAGTTAGACACAGGAGGGCACTGTTGTTGTTGTTGTTGTTGCTGTTGTTGTTGTTCTACTGTTGATAACAGTGTAGGGAGGTTCGTGAAGGGTAAATACGGTATCTTAGATTTCCCAATCGTACGTACTGTACATGATTGTTTTTTAATGTATTATCCTGTATGTATGTGGCAAAATGTCTTATTGTTTATTTAAATACAGTTTTCCTCTTTTAGGCAAGAATATTATCTTAAAAATACTGAACAAAAATAATGAAAACATTGGAAATTTAAAAAAAATTTAATGTCGCGAGATTGGATTAAAAACAAATACACGATGTACTGAGGAAGCGAAAGTAGAACCGCGATAAAGAGAGGGACTACTGTAACGCGAAACTTATCACGAAATATATAATAATAATAATGGGTTATACGTCATGAAAGAAAGAATAGGCCTAGGTGCATACTCAACAGAAACACAACTGCCTGTGCTTAACCTAAGGTTTCTCGTGAGCACGAGATACGTTTTTTTTTTTTTTCCATGTCCCTTCAGGGGCTCCATACGAATAAAACCTGAACTGGTAAAAAAAATAATTAAAAATAGCAGAAAATAAATCTTCTATTATATGGACATGACAAAAGTTATAACAATATTATTCAGAACTTTAAGGCAAGCTCATATGAACTGAGTTAATTCAAAATGACTCTGAATACCATTAAGTGGACTTTTCGGTGTTTAGTTACTTTTCTTAAGCAGCGCTGGCTTTATTTAAATTGTTCTCTTCTTTCTTGTTTTTCAGGAATAGTTGAGGTCGACCAAGTGCTAAATGTCCTCCTCACCACAGCCATGTTTGTCGGAGGTTCAGTGGCCTTCATTCTGGACAACACTATCCCTGGTATGTTTTGTAAATCAAGTTGTCTGTCATTTTGTTGTCTGGGTTATTTTATTTTTTATGTCAGAATGACAGACTAATGCTGTTTGATTTGCCGAAGTTTATTATTGTTGCCATTGTTCTGTCAGGTTCCTCCGAAGAACGAGGCCTTAAGAAGCTAAAGCGAGGCGTCGGCGTCAGCGGGACAGAACTGGAGGGCATGAGATCATACGACCTGCCTTTCGGAATGACCATCATCCGCAGATATTCCTTCTTCAAATACTTACCCATCAGCCCGGCCTTCACGGGCTATCAGTGGGGGCGGTTACAGAAGGCCTGCAGGAGCAGGATGGGACCCGGGGAAGTCGTGAAGGGAGGAGGAATGGGAGGGGAGGGAGGCTCAGCATCAGGGGAGAGTCGGGTATAGTACACGTAGCTGTGTTTTGGGGGAGCGGAGGGCGATGAGAGGAGGGTGGAGGTTCAGACAGTGCACCAACTCCCATCACTCTGTGTTCTTTGTCCCAGGTCAGGCCCACGGTCGGCCTCTGCTAGTTTAGGTCTGTTTAACAAATCAACACGGTTAACCCAAGATTGTTGGTGTTTGTTTGTGTCTCGGTTTTAGCAGACACACACACACACACACACGTGACAACACTTCCAGAGTCCAGAGTGAGAGTGACGGAGGTTAAACGTTCAGAAACGGAATGTCTTGATTTTCACCACTGCCAACTCTAACGTGCCACTCTCTCCTCTGTGACTTTTTCCACTTAAAGCCCAGTGGTTTTGTCATGGATACATCCCATTAAATTGATGCTTAATCATTGTCACCAGTCACTGGGCAATTTATGCAACACGTGCACCCACAAAGACTTCCAGAACCAAAATCCAGTGCTGCCACAGCCATTGTGGAGTCGCACAGATGAATTGTGGTGTGAGTGGTGACACAGGTGTCCTTAGCAATGCAAAGTGATTGTAACGTTTTTTTTTTTTGTTGCACTAACTGCCTCCTGATTTCTACTGTAGAATGTCGCTCCGCACCCCGTGTTTCTTTTGATATTCGGTTGCATTTCCTCAATGTTTAGACTTCACGACATTTCCCTGAACTTTAGGTTTACATCCCATTAACGCTAGTATGATTCTTTAAGCAGTTTACCAGAAAACCCTGTCAGTACAATGGAATTTTTTTTTTTTTTTTAAGTAAATAAAGCACCTGTTCACTTACTGAGGGTTCTAATGGTGCCTGTACTGCTGGCACGACAGGAGGGGATTTTTGAGTTTGTCCCAGGGCAATGCATTAAATCCTCTGTGCAGTTTATACAAATGTACATTTTAAGAAGTAGTTCCTGTCGATCCTTCGTCGTCTGCACATCTACCATGAGTAACCGCTGCTTATTTATGATGTATATTCTGTATCTTTTAGTGTCGATGACTCGACCATACATTCCTCCCCCCTCTCCCCACCCCTGCCTTCCACGTCTGCCTGTGACCACATTACCACTTCTCTCACACAGTTCTCTAATCACTTAATCTGTTAATTACAATTTCCAGTCATGTCTGGTCATTATCTGTGCTTGGTGCAGATAACGACCAGGTTACAGATACTGTATATAATATCGAAATACAATATGTTGCCCAACTTGAACCTACACTAAAATGCTAACATGTATTTATTTTCGGGTCCTTTTGTTACCAAATCCAAAAATAAAAACTATACAGTTTTGGACGTTGACTGTCGCAGTTACAAAAACTAGAACTATTTAGAATTCTACTCCAGTTTTTGAGGTATTTATTTATTTATGAGAGGTTGGTGTTTGATCGTGGCTAGAAGCAAGCGTACCTGCCTCTGTTACAATGTTATATATTTATTGTCTCACCTATTTGTGCCCTGCAAACAAGGGCGTGTGTGTGTTGAGACTACCTGCTCCATCAGCCCTCTCCCTCGGCCACAGTCCGGACTTTTATCAAGTCTTTTATTAAGTTTTTTTTTAGTTTTTTTTTTTAAACTTACTAATTTAATCTGCAGTCATAATAAAGGTTCAGTCAGTTTTTATTACGTGGTGGTGCCTAAAACATCAGGGTCAGAGTAATTCTGACATTCTGGTAGGGTAATTCTGGTATGGTCACTGCTATGTTCATACACTTATTTATTCAAGTCATGACTTAGCTTTTTTTAATAACCTTAAAGGCTGAACCTGAACTTTAAAAAAAAAAAAATCTTTTTTGGGCCTGATAGCTAGCTGAAGACGTTAAAGACGAATATGAGCTCAGTTTTTTTTTGTACATCGGGTGGGCAAATCTGTGGTATAACAAAAGTCTGCAGCGTTCTTTGAATACTACGGATAAAATTTAAAAATATTTTACTTAAGTATCCTTTCATTTGAATTGTATTTAAACAGATTAACAACTTCTTGTATGCAGAATACCTCTAGTTCTATACACCAAAAGTTAACTTGTTAAACTCTGGTGGGCCACATTCAGCCTTTTTGGACTTTTGGAGATTAGAGAGCAGATGTCATTAATCAGGGGTAGTAGTGGCTTAGTGGTTAAGGAAGTGGACTTGGGTCCAGAAGATTGCAGGTTCTAGTCCACCAGCTTCCAAGTTACCACTGAGATGCTCTGAGCATAGTGCCGTCCTCACTCACTAATTACTGGGCAGAGGTCACATTTTGTTGTGTGCAGTGATGTGCTGTGTCACAATGACGAGGAGTTCACTTTCCTTTCCTTTCCTTCTGACATGTTGTTAAAACAGTGGTTTACAGTATTTGGGCCCTGGCGTTAAACCGTATGCATTGTTCATGACAAGGTGTATTTGTTTGTTTCTCGTCATTTTTGAATGCAACCAGCACTTATATTTCTATAGTCACATCCTTGCTCTCGTACACAGGAACACAACGTGTGTCTTTATGCAGTAGGAGACACAGTTGAGGTTCCCTTTGGTCACTGGCTGGAGGATGTCGGCTGGAGTTTTTGCTTAGATGCTTCTTCCTGTTGTTGTGAGCTGTAACCGCTCAGTTACTGACTTCCCACTTCCCTTATTTTTGGGTTTGTCAAACACGTGTCCGTGTCTGTGTCTTACATGGTCCTTACAGAAATGCCTGTACTCACTGGTTTACTTTTTTCATTTTTTTTCTGTCTCTCTATTTACTTCACTGTTAAAGACACTTTTACTGATTCTTGAGAACGTGAAAAACTCTGGCATCGTTTCCCTTTCAGTTGTTTTGAAAGACATTCTGCACAATGTTTTAATGTATTGCAAGAAACTAATTGCTACTAATCATGACATTTTAATCTTTTAAACCATGCTGGGGGAAGAATCTCACGACGTTGTACTTTTTATTATAAGAAGTAAAATATAGTTGATCCTTTTGTTCTGTGGCTTGGTGGACGGTGATCTCCTGCTTTAGGACCTTCCATGTTCTATTTTTTTACTACAGCATTGTCTCTTCCTGTATTACCACATTACCAGTGTCTCCACCTGGTAGTGGGAAACTTTGCCTGCAAAGTTTGACTAGCTGTAAAATATAATGTATATTTAACAGAGCAAAGTTGACCTAACCTTCTGTAAGACAAATTTGTGTAAACTGACTGTAGCCAAAATGTGCGATTCTTTGTTGCTGAAATATTGAACACGATATTACAGAATGATTTCTGTCGTTTGTCTTTTATTAAAAACAAGCTCCTAAAATGAATCTTGGAATCCAAATCTATAACAATATTCCGTACTCTATAATAATATTCAGTACTTTACATAACTGCACCTGATAGACGCCTTCCTTTCGTCATCCATCCATTTTCTACTGTTTAGGACAGGATTCGCTAGCCTCCAGGTGGTCCACAGAGGTACTGCAAGTACATCATTACTTTTTTGGTAAACTATACAGATATTTATATATATTTTATTAATTCATTTATTTTTGCACATTTAAAATAAAGCTTTTTAAACATCCCTATAGTACATCATTAACTGTCAATGTATATGCTCTATAATTTAGTGTAAATTAAACGGCTCAGCGTCAAAGTAAAGTTAGTAGAAAAATGTCAAAAAGTGAAGAACAATTTTATTTTATTAAATACTACATAAAAGGATTTAAAACCCTATCTGGTCGATTCTTTTATCACACCATGGAGTTTTAAAGTGCAATTTTGTATATTTTTTTTTAATTTTGACAATTTTATAATTAAAATAGTTAAAAATTGAATACGAACTTGTTTTATCAGATCAGGCCCAACATACTGGGATGCATCTCTCCAGCCCAAAGTTCGTTTAAGGTTAAAGACGAGGTCGGTTTAGACAGAGCTTTTCCAGCGACTCTTCTTTTGTTTTCATGTTTTCATTCAGCGTGAACAAAGGGGGCGTTAGGGTCGCTCTCTGATTGGCTGCCACACACACACACACACACACACACACCAGATGGATGTGTCTCGCGCTGCTCCCTGCTGTTGATCTGGAGGAGCTGCTGCTGCTGCTGGTGCTGCTGCTGCTGCTGCACGCGCCCTAAAAAAGTGATTGTTCCTAACGGCGCTGGAGTGAGGAGGACAGAGGAGTAAGGGCACATTATCTGAAGCTAAGGGAGACCAAGGAGGAGGTCAGAGGAGGAGAAACGTCAAGGAAACCGACGAGGCTGCTCCCCCGCTCCGCTGACTCTGGGGAGAAGCTCCAGAAGTCTCCAGAAATCAGACACTTCTTCTCTATAGCTCGGTAAGCTGCTCTTCTCAGTGTGAACTGGTCCTAGCGGGAAATATCTGATATATAAAAAAACAAGTTTTCTTTTTCAAACGTTTGACAGAAAAACGAAGATATTAAGTCAGATAAGATATGACGGATATTTCATGTTTCATTGATAACGTGTGTGTGTTGGGAGTGTGATGCGTTTCACTGGTTTAGTTAAACAGGTTACATAACAGTCTGTAGACTGTTCAGACCACTCTTAGTACACATGCGGAGGCGTCACTATGCCTTCTGTATCCCCCGCATCACATTCGACCAAGGATGCGCTGCAAAAATTGAGTTAAACCGATACATATCCAATAATTATCTGATATACGATCAGATAGGTATGATGCCGATACTTTAACCGATAATTTCACATTTCTATGTATAAAAACATCATTATCACGCTTCATTTATTTTCATTAGATCTTTGTTTATGTCTGTTGACCTGATGAATACTACTACTAAGATGCTGGTCTGTGTGTTAGCTTTAAGAAGATCATCATAATTTGGCTCTGAATTTAACCCATTGATGATGCAGCAGCAGTGGGGCATACTTTGCTGCAGCTGAGGAGTGGTGTACTATGGGGGCTTGCTCAACCTCACCTCAGCTAGGATTTAAACTAGCAGCTCTACCATCATCTACCATGCTAATGAGATGTTTTTGTTTTGTTTTTGTTTTTTTTTTTTGTAAATAAATTAGTTAGAAGTCAGAAGTCTTGACAGACACAAAAACATTGATTACACAGAGAAGCGTATAAACTCTGTAATTTAATCCATTATCACCTTTGGTTTCTCACCGTCTCAGGTTAACTTGACGTTACCATCCGCTAGCTATATACGTTTAGCTTAACATGTGTTGCAAGTGGCACAATCTTCTCAATCCTGTGATGTGGTAAAAACATCCAGACTAGATTTTCTAATCTGCTGTTGATTGTATTCGTTTTGACAGATGGTTTTGAAAAATTTATATTTTTTGGAAAGTCAAATTCATTGTCTGGCTTGCTCCCTGGAAACTTTTTGAAAACTGCCTCAGGACATTTGCTGAAGTTGTGGGAGAACGTTTTTGGGACACCTATCATAGTAACACAGTGGGA